CAGAGGAAGAAGCTGACACTGCCCAGCCAGAATCCTGTGTTTGAATGGAATTTATGCACCATGGATGAGCTGTATGAATATGCAACAGGCTGGTGTTTTAAGGGTTAATCCTCTGTTAACGTGGGGCCTTTTTCAGGCTTATTTTGCCCAGAAAAGGTATCTGGACTGTCCATAACTCTTTGTTTCTATTGCCTCATATTGTCCTCATATTGTCCCAATTTGGACATCCAAATTGTCCAAATTATTATTAGTCTAATTGTATTCCTATTTTTATAACATTTTATTACTATTAAACTTTTAAAATTTTAAAAACAAGTGATGGGCGTTTTTCACACTTTCCGTATCATTTTCCCCCATCCTTTCCCCCATTCCCTGTCCCTCTCTCCTGTATCCTCTATGTTTGCTATATCACCTTTCCCCATCCCCTTTTCCTCTCTCCTTTATCCCCTATATTCTCTTTAGCCACTTCCCCTATATCCTTTATCTGCCATCTCTATCCTTTCCCCCTTTACATTATTAATCACCCCTACCCCCTTTTCTCTGTCTCGTTTTCCTCTCCCCTATATCCCCTTTATTCCTTATATCTCCTTTTATATCCCTTTTCCCTGTCCTTTCCCCTTTCCCCTCTATTCCTGACATGCCCTTCCCCTATCCCCACCCTTTTGCCCTGTCCCTGTTTGTGAAAAAACGCCAGACACTTGTTTTTAAAATTTTAAAAGTGTGATAGTAATAAAATTGTTATAAAAATAGTAATACAATTAGAGTAATAATAATTTGGGCAATTTGGATTAAGACAATATGAGACAATAGAGACAAAGAGTTATGGACAGTTTGGGTACAGAAGCCTGAAAAAGGCCCCACGTTAACAGAGGATTAACCCTTAAAAGCAACGGCCTGTTGCATATTCATACAGCTCATCCATGGTGCATAAATTCCATTCACTCACAGGGTTCTGGCTGGGCAGTGTCAGCTTCTTCCTCTGAATCCTAAATGGCATCATTCTGATCAAGTGAGGCAGGAAGAAGTTCATTTCTGCTGATAATGGAGCAATAAATTCTCTTTTTTTGAAATATTCAGGTGTCCTGTGGCTGCTATCTGGTGTGAGTCCTTTCTTTAAAAAAAAGTTTCCTACATAGCACAGTTTCTATTTTAACATTTTGTTATAACTTAAAACTATATTTAGCACCCTGCTTAAGAGAATTAACACAGCATCAATTTCTAACACAGCACGTACAACATTCATCTGAATATTTCCGAAAAGCCAATCACAAAATACGGGTTTTTCACACCGTCCCTTGTCGCTGTCCCCGCAGCTCGTTCGACGTGGCCGTG